TCCCCAAAGCACAGCCCTTATGCCCCGCTCCCCAAAGCACTCCACTCCACACCCCTGCTCCCCAAAGCCCTCCTCCAACCACCCCCACTCCCCAAAGCACTCCACTCCACACCCCTCTCCCCATAGCACTTCTCCTATCACCCCTGCTTCCCAAAGCACTCCCTCCCAAACCCCTATACCCCAAAACAGCCCCCACAGCCCTGCCCCCCAAAGCACTGTGCTCTTCCGTACCGCTAAACACTGACCAGGAGACCCCTTCATCTGCCTGGTTCACGTGGGGCAATCCTTCAACCCAGCTTCTCTGAGGGTCTGTCCCCAATCTGACAATGACCCAACTCCCATCCCCGAAAGCAGAGCTGGGGCTATCTCGGGTGACAGCAAAGTTTTATTTCTTCATTGAGGTACCTGCTTTGTGATTCATTTCTATTCTGTCCATTTGACTGCTTATGTGGTACATTTCACAGAAAGACAAAAGAAAACAAATGTCTGATCGGCCCCCAGAGAGAAGAGATCTATGTCATAACCAGTACCTATTATGCAGCACTGTTCTGAATGTAATTATTTCCCCTAGAAAGTTAATGTCACTGACATAGGTTTTCCTTCTCAGCCCAGGCCACTTACTGGGGCACCAGAAACCAGCCTTGTCTAAGGGGGAGTCCTGAACACACACCACTTTGGACGAAAAACTGCTTTTCTGTATTTGTGATGCGGACAATATCAGACATCAGAACCAACGTCCGGACCACCGCGGTCCGGCCAACGTGAAGCACGAGGGACATCACAGGACGAACCAGACCTTCACTCGGGGCAGAGCAAGGATGGGGTACTGTGGGATCAGCCGGCAAAAGAGAGTCAGGTGACCTCCCAGGAGGTAAGACACTTTTCTGCATCACAACGGTGAACGTTTTACTCAGGGGCCTCCTACTCAACAGGCTACTTGACTATTTCTCAAGCTCATCAAATTTTCTTCTGCAATTAATTTTTCACCAGTGGGATAACGGCTCATTCGCTTCCTTACGGCCTGGCCTGCCTTCAGGTGTCTTAACATATGGGTAACAGTCCAACACTGTGCACATAACAATTGGTTTCATTTGTAACACATTATAAACATACAGACGCACTTCATGTTACCAAAAGGGGTGGGGACCAGTGGTCTCATTCCTCAGGGAAACTTCGTGAAATTTAGCGTCTGTGTAATCAGAAAGGAAAAGGGCAGGGGCGCCTGGGTGGCTCAGCCGGTTAAGCATCCGACTTCAGCTCAGGTCATGATCTCGCAGTTCACGAGCTCGAGCCCCATGTCGGGCTCTGTGCTGCCAGCTGGGAGCCTGGAGCCTGCTTCGGATTCTGTGTCTCCCTCTCTCTTTGCTCCTCTCCCACTCATGTTCGGTCTCTTTCTCTCTCTCAAAAGTAAATAAAGGAAGAGGGCAGCAGGTACCCGAAGGCCTGCACGGGCACACAGCGGGACGGTGTCCTGGCAAAATGAAACGGATCCTTTACAGAACAAAGTGGTGTCGCATTGCTTTGCAGGGGGCACCGGAGTGCACGCAGAAGGGCGGAGGCGGCGACGCTTCTGGGAACGCACTAGTGACGACGGGCACTTCCCACACGTCAAAGCCTAGGAGAATCTGCCATCACAGGACCGAAGGAAGTGAGAGCCGGACTTGAGGGCAGTGTAAACCGGGCCCCGGGAGAGAGAAAAACTGACCGGAAGCCACAAGCCTCAGGGCTGCGGAGCACAAAATGTGTTACCACTTTTCTCGGGATGCTTTCGCACAAGAGGAGGGGAAACGATGGAGTAGAAACTGTCATCGCAACGCTCGGGTGCTTTCTGGGGAGAAGGAAGGGAAATACGGGTATGCTAAGAACACTCTGGACACTGCCTAAGTTGTGTCCACTGAAGAGGGAGTGTGTGTGTGTGTGTGTGTGTGCGCGCGCGCTGGAGGAGATGCATCGCCACTTACCTTGGTGGGGATTCGTGCCGTCACGAGGAAGGCTCGGCATGACGTAAGCACCTGCAGAATAGGAAGACAGCATCAGTATAAGTACCACCACGTGGGACTGATGGGTTTGGGCTTTACCCACAGGACAGAATGGCACAGGAGCCTCGAGAGGCCACGGGGCTGGGTTCCTGGCCTGTAAGAAGAATCGGTGAATCAGGACAGCCTCCTGGCCACGTAGAACTAGTTTTCCTCAAGAGTCACTGCGTGAAGGTCCAAACTGAACAAATCACTTGCGAAATCTCAAGATGAGCAGTCCAATCAACAGCCCAAGGGACCAAGAGATTACTTCTGCTGAGTGAGCGCCACAGGTCTCTGGGATGTTAAGATACAGAGACCCTGCATACACTCGTGAGCCCCGCTCCCCGCCCCCCCCCCCCCCCCATATCAGCAGCAGACTGAATGAAGAAGCCTAGGGCTCTCTGACACCTTCCTCACCACCGCCACCCACATTTGCCCGCTTCCACTCCCTGTGCACGAGCGGAGAACATTCACACAGTGCACAGACAACATATCAGGGGATGCTTCCAAGGTGTCCCCAGCTGTGTTTCTCAGCTGGGCCTCCCCCCAGTCCTCGAGAGAACACTTATGGAGGTTTCGATTCCAATACTCCACTAAGAACATCTATGCAGTCCATAGGGCCCCACATGTTTCTAGGACCGCTCTTAGCCAGCAGAAGCCCTTGTGAATACAAAGAGGTTGGAAATGGTTTGAACTCATCCCCGGAGCAGGGATCCCAGTCCACAACCGCCAAGGTCGGAATATGGTGCCACTCGGCAGCTTGGAGGTCTGGGCAGGCCCCAGGGCCTTTGCACTGAAGAAAGGAGTCTCCAGTACTTAAGTTCTGATGGGAGGACTGGCTTCTTCATTTCTCAAACAACTTCCTCATCGCTAAATTTATTATTTACAACACAGCCCACACATTTCTCTCTTCCAGGGGGTCTTGTAGGAGCAATCCCCGGTCTCTTCGAGAATCTTCGGCCCACAAAATTCTCTGCACAGGGCCAGATCACAGAGCTCACGTGCCAGAAAGGACTCAGCATCACCTGGTCAGTGACCTGAAACCCCGCTGCGTACCACCATCTCAGCTTCTAATCTGAGAGCAGGTTCCACAGAAACTCGTCTTTGCTGGGTTCACGCCAGAGCTGGAAATGGAAGCTGGAGCTCCGGACCCCCAATCTAGAATCTTTTCAGACGAGCAAGAAGCTCAACGGCACAAGCCCCAGACAGCAACGTGCAGCCTTTTCAGTATTTCGATAAATGTATCAAGCTCTGTGAACGTTCCTTCCAACAGATGTTGGTCCCACAACACCCAGGATCACGTCAGAAGCACAGGAGCAACCACGGCCAATACTGCCGGGTACGCTGTTCTAACAGGCTTGTGGGCCCCATCTCCTTGAGTCCTCTCAGCACCCTAAGAGCTAGACTGGACACCGTTATCACCCCCATTTTAAGAAGAGGAGACTAAGACGCACAGAGATGATGGAACTCGCCCGGGTGACCCAGCAAGCGGGTGGCCAAGCTGAGACTTGAACCTAGCATGCTCTGGGTCCAGAGACCGGGCTGCTAATTCCTTACGCGGACTCTCGAAATTCCAGAACCCACTTCCAGGTGGTCCTCACCCATGCAAACACGGATGAGCCACAGAGCTTTAAAGCCGGAAGGAAGCAGAGAGGTAAAAGCGTCATCAACAGGATGAGGGATGTTGGAGGTGCTGAGGAAAAGAGCCAGTCCCTACTGGTCTGCCTGCCTGTCCGTGCGTCTGTCTTCTAGGTGCCTCCCTGATCCCATCTGTGCAGCTCTCAGTCTGTCTGCGTCCCTCCCCTCCCCTCACTCCTCACTCGGCCGTGGCTGCCACTGTCCCCAGCACACTCCCCTCCCCCCTTTCTCACCCTCTCTTCCTCCTCCAGCACCCGCCCCTGCCTCAACTCCGCCCTCACTTCCCGGGGCTTCCCAGATGCTAATCTGCTAATCTGTGAGCCCGCAATTTATTCATGCCTACTGCCCAACAGCAGACGCCAACCACGGAAGGAACACCGCATTCTGGAAGGATAGTTCATCTGTAACACAGTCACAGAGAAACTTGCACAGAACACGAATAAAGGTGACAAGGCACCCTTGACATGGTGAAACAAGGAACACGTGGGTAATGACAAGGCCCCCTATGGGGATCTACTTCAGAAGTCTCAGAGACTGGTCTCCCACAAGCATCCCAACCACTGATGTGAGCATGAGGTGCGGGCCGGCCTTCCACCCTTCTGTAAGTGTTGTACTTTGGGGACTAAAGTCTCCCACAAGCAGCCAAGGCATCACATGACCTGCCTGCCCTCTCCTGACCAGCCCCTTCCTGATCAGTCAGCACAGGGCGCTTCTAGGGGCCACTGGGAGAGAATTAACTGGGTCACTACTTTGTAAGTTTATTTATTTATTTTGAGAGAGAGAGAGAAAGCACGCATGGGGAAGGGGCAGAGAGAGAGGGTCCCAAGCAGGCTCCACACTGTCAGTGCAGAGCCCAACATGGGGCTTGAACCCACAAACCATGAGATCATGACCTGAGCCGAAATCAAGAGTCGGATGCTCAACCGACTGAGCCACCCGGGTGCCCCGGGGTCAGTACATTTCTTTACAAGAGAGGGGAAAAAACTCAGAATGTTCATGTGCATCCACCTTTTGAATGACGAGCAATCAATCTCTTGGCCACAGGTAGACATACGAGGTTCTCACGATCACTTCTGCCTCCCCTCAGGCAACAACCCCGTTCGCGATCTGTGGTCCTGTGCGCCAACTCGCCTTCTTGAAAAATAGTTTCTGAGTACACAGTGTCCTCCGGAATTTGGACACAGCCCAAAAGAATTTGTTTGAAAAGAGACACATCCACGTGGGAGCCCAGGCTTTGAAGGAAGCAGCTTTGTGCCGGGTGGTCCCCATTTCTGGTGGTCACCTAGGGTCTCCGGAGGCATGAGGACCCGTCTTAGAAAGTTTGGGAGGGGAGGGGATGGAGTGGGTGAAATCCTCCAAAGCTTACCCAGCCTCTCCCGAGACTATGCCCACTTGTAAGCACAAGAGTGTAGCAGTCATTTGAAGCAAGAGTGAAAAACTACAAGCCACTGCTCCTCCCAGAATCGTGCCTCTTGCTCCGTTGGCGCAAACTGGGCCAGTAAATGGGGCTACGCTCATGCTGGAATCCCCAAAGAACTCGGTCTCCTAGCTTTCCTACTTGGCTCCAAGAGGGTCCTGGGGCGTGCGGCCTTGGAGGTCTTACGGGCACACATACGGCTTCTAGCAGCTGAGGGGCGATCACACAGGAAACCCCCCCTTCGATTTATCCTATAATAAGCACCACCTCGGTGTTGAGGTCACAAGCATCTTGGGTGACCAAATCTTCCCATTTGCCCAGGACGTTTCTGGGCTTAAGCACAGACAATCCCAGGGTCCCAGAAACCCAGGACTCCTGCTCACCCCCCTTGCAGGGGTTTGGAATCAGGAAGGCAGATTTAAAGTCTGGCTACACCACTCACTAGCTGCCTAACCCTGACAGAGTCAGTCAACTGCCCGATGCCTCAGTTTCCCCCTCTGTAAAACAAGAAGAATATTCCTCTGCAGGACAAATACTGTCGTTTTAAAGTAAGATACAAGTGTAGATAAAGCCCGAGCCCAGCACCGAGGAGGTCTCGGTCAAATACCAGCTCTTCTATCGTTAGAGCGGGTGGGAACGCATCTTCAATTTAGGTGCCCAAATTAGGACGAAGCAGTCACACTTACTGATTTTCAAATGATAGCTTCTGGCATCAGAAGGAGCCCACCAGGGTTCCGAGACACCATCTAGGCTGAAATTTTCAGTTCAGTATATTTTCTTGCAAAAAAAAAAAAAAAAAAAAAAAAAAAAAGCGAGGGGGTGAGGGGATCCGAAGAAGCATTTGTGCTTCACCGAGGAACCTCAGTCACTAAGGGCAAGCTATTACCCCCGCCCCCCTCCTCCGGGAGGCCCATTCTTCCACAGAGGTCTTAGCATGCAAACCACATTTTCAACCTCCATAATGCATTTCCTCTCCCTTTCATTGAAATGCAGGCAGCAGCCTGGTTCCCTCTGAGGCTTCTGGGTTCAACTTTTAACTTCAACATTTCACTTGGAAACACTTAAAAAACTCCTCCCCACCGCGGAGACTCACAGCTTAGCAGAGAAGCCTAAATTTTCTTACGGAAATGATATATAATGAGGTCGACTACAGAACCCTCTCACTGCTTGCAATGCACGCTTATTAAAAACTTAAATAAACACCCGTTTCACCCTCTTTAATAACTCCATTTGCCTACAGCCTACCGCTGCACAGGCAATCCATAAACCCATCCCTCCTCAATCCACTCTCTCGTGCAGATTACCAAGAATGCCCGTCCTTTAAGATTGGGCTCCACATGGCATTCAAAAAGTGGTCTCGTACCCCCAGAGTACTCTCTAATTTGCAAGCAAATGAAATGATGAAGGCCATTTAATACATTTACCCTCTTCCAGGGGCTCCAAGTGAATCACAGACAAGACCTCATTCATCCAAGATACACACTTCAGGGAGAAAGAGGGGCAGGTGGCAAGGACCATCATCACCACTGTGGAGGTGCTGAGAGTCTTGTGAAAGATCGCCCAGAAAGTTGAGCTAGAATAAAAAGTCTCTCCCGGCCCTGAGCCTCTTAACGTCCACTGTGCACAGCCATGGGGCCCGTCACCCTCCCCGGCCAAAGCAAGAAGACGCTTCACCCAAAAGGAATACAAACAATACATCCTTTTCATGCAACTTCTGGCCCCAAATCCCTTATAAAACTGGATCGCCATACTTTCCAGTATCTGTCTCTCTCTGTCATTAGTAGATGTTCCCTGACAAGGCAGTAGAGTCTAGTGTGGGATCTGAAAACTACAGCCTGTGGGCCAAATCCAGCACCCTACCCATTTTTATGAATAAAGCTTTATTGGGACACAGCCACACCATTTGTTTAACGTATTGTCTCTGGCTGCTTTCACGCTACAAAGGTAGAGCTGAATACAAGCAACAGAGATTTTTACGTCACACAATACCTAAAATACTTACTATCTGATCCTATACGGAAAACGTTTGCCAACCCCTGGCCTCGCGGTTTAAAGGAGAAACTCTGGGGCCGGGTTGTGTGCATTTCAGTCCAAGCTTCACTACTTACTATCTGTGTGACTTAGGCAAATGACTTCACCTTCTCCGTGGCTCAGTTTCCTCTTCTGTAAAATGGGGGCAGCGATCGTACCGACACCCACGAAGCCGTGAGGGTTAAACGGGCTCATCATTTAGCGCTCAGAGGAGTACTGGCAGATGTAAGAGCTACAATAGCATGATATTATTTGTATGTCGACATTATGATGAAACTACAAATGCCCATGACAGTATTAAACTAAGACCGTTACCCACACTTAGCCTGGATTTAGCTCAAGTAGCCGAGCGACCTAACAGAACAAGTCACGATCTTCGCGGACGTAAACGTACCCGAACCGAGAACAAGGGCATTGGAACAGGTCCCCGTGTCACCTTCCTATCTCAGGGTCCATGACTGAGGCTGCTGCTCCAGGACCCCACTCGTCTTTGGTCTGTGTAGACGACCAGGAATGCCAAGTCCCCGCTAAATGTTTGCAAAGAAGAATGAGTTCCTTCTTGGGGCCCTACTCGCCGGAATGACAGATGTTCCGTCAACAGGGGAGCAAGGCTTTTGTTCTCTAACACCTGTGCAAAGCCATTTCTTTGTCACCTGGTTATTTGTGCCATTGTGCAGAAAAGGAGTGTTTTCACACAGCTCGTCAGACAATCGCTTCCTTCCCTCTGCCGCCCCACGACCGCAAGCTGTAGGGCATTATCAAAGCATAAAAGAAAACAGAGTTAATGCTTCCCCACAGATGAACATGTGGCTGCTTCAAAACATCAATTCTCCTTAATGTCACTCCCTATCACATCTTCTTCTCAAAGCGCCGGCTGACACAAATCTCTGGAATGGGCCACACTGATTCTATGAGGACACATTTTTCAAGGCGGAATGATCCCTAGAAAAGGGGCCACCTCCTCGGCTATGAGTAA